TTCAGAAGCGTCCTGTGGAGGGTGAGGGTGCTTGCGACAGGAGTGGGCGCCGAGGGTGTTGGGGTGCGCCTAGGCGAGTGAGCGTGTGTGTCTGGTGGAAGGCGGGTGAGACTGGTGTGGGGCGGAGGTGGAGCGAGTCACACTTACCCGGCAGGGGAGACGCCGGGATCAAGCAGGTGGTTTTCCCAGGTGAGGCCCTTCCATCATACCAGGGACATGCTGACCCCCGCGATTTCCCCGAGTGTGGACAACTCCTGCATTATTTGTGGCAGTGGCAGTTGGGGGCTGCATTCCCGCTTTCACCTGTTGTTGGTTGTATAAGAATAGCCTTTGTTTTCTTATTCATTTTTCTCTTTGTTTGTTTTGTCTTTTCCCTGACTTTGGCTGATGACATGGGCTGAAGAAGAAGCTCACTCAGGGGACACCAGGACGCTGAAGAAAACACTTCTGCTTTTAAGGGCTGCTTTCTTGAGAATCTGGGTTTGGCTGTTTCTCAATCAAAAGCATGCAGGACAGTTTCTGTCCACCGGTCATACATCCCACCTTGGCTGTCGGGTTTCTTTTTCTGTTTTTCGCAGAGCAATGTCTCTGCTTATATTTCAGTATGTGGTTTGCAGTCCCTGATCCAGCAAAGGTGCTTTCTTTTCATTCCCTGGGGAACATGGGTCAGCGTCCCTTCTCCTTCTTCCCTCCCCTCCCCACCTATCCCCCCAGGCACCCTGCAAAGCCTCACCCAATCCCCAGACTCCATATCCTTGATTAGGCCACTTGGTAGCCTACCTAGTATAGCCTTGCTCCAGAGGACCCTTAGGAGACTAGAGAGGGTCCGGCTTGATGTACTGTTTATTTATTGTAAGTTTATTTGTTGAAGTAATCCCTACACCCAAAGTAGGGATAGGGCTCATGAAGCCAGATGGAGACTCCCCTGCTCTCCTGACTGAGCCAGCCAGGTGCCCCCTGACAGGCTTTTAAAGAGGCACCTCTGTCTACTCACAAAGAACACGCTGGGTTTGGCACCACAGACCTTTCCCAAACAGCAGGTTAGCTCTAGGGCAAAGGGCCGTGGGCCTTCTGCAGCTCTCGGGCTCAAGCAAAAACTGTCCCTACTGATGTACCTGCATTGCTTTGTCAAACTGAGCTTGAAGGGGTTTCTGGCTTCAGGCTTTCACCAGAGCTGGTGTTTTTTTCTCTACTCCCAAAAGGCCTCTATTCAGAATCTACAACTGAGGGTCTTCCAACTTTGATTTTCACTTAGGGGAGCCACACCAACTGGGACTCAGCAACTGGTTACTCTTCTGCCAGAAACAATTAAACAAAAGAGCAACAGCGTCACACAAGATGCACGAAGTGGAGATTTCCAAGATCCTGGGCATCAGGCAAAGGGGACAGCCATCCTGGACACATGGCAACACAATGGTGAGCAGAGCCCTAGAGCTGCTCAGAGGTACTGGCTCTAGAGAGTTTCCAAGCAAGGCACTGGGGGGAGGGGAACTTGAATAGGAGCCCCATGGAGCTCCTGGAATTGAGGACACTGATCTGAGAGAACCCAGGACTGAGTCTCAGGGAGGACAGAGCTGCAGGAAGTCACCTAGCCAGAGCTGTGGAGGGGCCCTGGGGAGGCATGGACAGCAAGTCAGGGGGTAATCCTTTGCACAGGGCCTGGTGCTCACACGGTGCTGGGAATAGTGCCTGTGTCCAACCAATAGACTAAGCAAAAGTAACCCTCTTAATTTGTGAGGAATAGGGTGGAGGACAGGG